CGGCAGGCCCAGTAGGGGGCCACATGCGAACCCCACCCTCCCCCTAGAAAATCGTGGGGGGTAGGGATAGGGTTCGCATGTGGCCCCGTAAGGGCGCCCAGGCTTATGTTGTTCCCGTTCTACTTAGGACCGCATCCCAGAAATAACTTCGAGCACCCAGAAGAGAAGCGCCAAAAGAGTGTCGAAACAGTGCCGAAACGGTGTCGGGCGAGTGTCTCCCAGGGCCTGGCATGTGAAAACCCTTGAGTTTCGGTACTTGTTTGGGCGCTCGAAATTCTTCCTGGCGATCAAGGCTAAAGTAGGTTGGAGCATCGTAAGGCCAGGCCTCCCTTCCAGGGCGCCGCCACGGGCGCAGCTGTCGCCGCTCCCCTCTCGTGGGCTCCAGGGGGGTCCCGCGGCGGCGGTAAGAACTGAGCGTCCTTCATTGTCGCCATCGTGCGGGTTTCTCCGGGCGCGGTCCGCAGAGGGGAGAACGTGCCCTTGCAAACGCCCGTTCGTCTCGAAATGAGCCCGTTGATGCTGTCGCTTGTGACAGATGGGTTGGGCACGCCCCTGGCATTTTGCTGATGCAGGCCCAGCCCTGAGGCGCCAGCCCTGCCTGGGTGCTCCCAGGCGCCAGCCCTGAGGGAAGCAGGGGCAAGACGGAGCATGCATGACCCCGCGTCCTTGTCGCCGTTCTTGAAGTGCGAAAAGATCTGGCGCGTGAAGCATGGGAGGAGACAGCCCTCCATTGACTACCCTTCGCATGACCCGCTCTCAATCTCTACAAACTCGCCATGCTTCACCTCCAGGGGTGGGGTACATCGCGACCTTGCAAGTGGAACTCTGGCGAGCGAGGCACGGGGGAAGAGAGCTGGTCGAAGCGAATCCTTCGAATCGGTCAGACTTGATTAGGCTAGTGCCACTACTCGACTAGAGTCTTGATCAGCCTGGTGCTCGGCATCCGGATCCTCACTACGCTCTACCCTCCGAGGGACACCGTGACCTCGCAGGACCACTCAGAGTGCCATGAGGCTGAAAAACCGCCGAGAAGCAACAGCAAAGAGCTGCAGATATTCAGAGACGGGGCCCTTGAAAGATTCGTCCAGCGTTCGGGCAGAGCAGCCACAGCGGGAGCAAGGGGATGAGAAGGTGAGACCTCAGAGGAGGAGGATGAGAAGGAGGAGGATTAGCATTAAAAGGACCCGTAACCCTTTGCGAGGGGACCTAAGTTAGGAGGACCAGAGACATTAGGGATAGGGTGTCTTGTCGGCAGATGTATCGAACCAAACCACCCAGATCGATTATCCCTAATGCAAAGGCGGGGACCTCAGCGAGGCCACGTCTTCACAGCGTTACTGGGGTTAGGGGTTCTCTTGTATACCCTTGATGAGAGGAAGAGGGGTGCCCCGTCCCAGCGCGGCAGGACCCCCCTCGAGAACCAGCACGTGGAAACTCACTCCGCTCCTTGGGAGGCCCCGGCACTCGCTCGCCCGACGGATCCCCGCGCAGCTGCTCGCGAAACAGCCATCTTCCATCGTCGACCCTCGCACTTCCGCAGCCGCGGCACGCCCTGAGGTCCGCGCGGGCTTGGAGGGTGATAAGTAGGCGGCGCGCCGGTTGCGCGGGGAGGGAAGCGAGAAGGGGCGGGCATTCCAAGAAGGTTCGGAAGGCCCCCGAGCTTCTGAGAAGTCTTCTGGGCCTTCCCCGAAGACCCTGAAAATTTCTCAGAGGGCGCGAGGGCTTCTGAGAAGTCCCGCCGCCTCCTGAGAAGCCCTGGTCCCTCTCGTTTCCCCCCCCCTCGCTCGCCGCCGAATAAGACCGCAACCAAAGCAAACTGCCCCTGTGCTACTCCGCTCTTTCAGCGCAGCGCGCACTGCCACGAACGGGCGGCAGCTTCGTGCCCAGCGCCACCGACGCCTCCATCCACCAGGCGAGCACGTGAAACCCCTGCCTCGCTCTCCCTTCTCGTCCTCCCTCTCTCCGCCCCGTCCTCCTCACTCTCGTCTTCCTCCATGCCCCTGCTCCCCCGTCCGCCCTCTCCCCCGGATGAAAACGGCTCCCCCCCCATCGGCCCGCTCCGTCCGTGAGGGGAAACCTTCGGAAACTCCACCGATACATCACCGATAGATCGGGGACATGCCCCAGACAGAGAATCCGCACGCTCCTGGGCGGGGTGGGGCTATGGGGCCTCTACAGGCGATCAGTGGGCGACTGGGGCTCGATGCGTTTCCCCCAGAACCACGATAAGCATAACCAACTTTGGACAGGGGGCGCAGATACGTGCTTCGCACGCCATGACACCCACATCCGCGTCGAGCCCGTGTCGAGTCCACGTCGAACTCGTCGAATCCGCGGCGAAAGAGCGCCGATGTGCCTCCAGGTCGACGTGCCTCCCCCCAGAACATCTCCTCCCCTACCGCTGGCACGGAGCTCCATGCGCATCCCCTCCCCGTCCGTCGGCATGTCAGGGGCGGGAGGAGGGAACAGCGGATGCCCCGCCTGATCGGGCGGCGGCTGATACGCGAGCGCCTCCGCGGCGCGGCGGCTCGACCGTGCAGGGGGTAAGAAAGCTGGGGTGCCCTCCTCCTCATTCTCCTCCTCCTCCTCCTTCTCCTCCTCCTCCTCTTCCTCCTCCTGCTCCTGCTCCTGCTCCTGCTGCTCCTGCTCCTGCTCCTGCTCCTCCTCCTCCTCCTTATTTGACAGGGATGATGGCCCTGGCAGGTGCGCAACCGTTGTCGCAGAAGTTCGAAAAAGTTGCTCGCAAAGCCCGTTTGACAGAAATGTTTAAAAAGTGTTGGGTTTCCTACGAATCCGCAAGAGCGCGCGGGATGAGATTTTGACAATTGTTTGTTGAAAAACCATTGGTTTTTTGATGTTTTTATGTTAAAATCGCTGCGAACACTAAGGTTTTGAAGGATTTCGTCTTGCGCGCGCGAATGTCCACTTTACCTTATTTTTTGCAAGGGATTCTTGAAATTTGATTATATTAGAACAAGAAATGTCATTTTCTATTGTTTTTTGCAAGGGAAAGCGGATTACAACAAAACAACCGGATCCTGTACACACCCTCTTTTCTGAGGCTTCCTCACGAAACTGATGAAAATGTAGCTGCGGCCTAGGCGGCGCAGGGGGGGCGCGCACCAGGGGGCCCAACAATAATTATTCTTTAGAATAAATAATGTTCAACAACAACAACAACAATCATTTAAGACTGGGGACACTCCGTTCTCACCAGTGCCAGGGTTTTCATAGGAGGCGGGCAATACCCCCACTTTGTGGGGGAGCCGGTTCAAGCTCTACCAAATTTCCATACGACTCTTCGCCACCACCCACACCCAGCTTCCCGCCATATGACGTTCGGACACTTCACTTCGTGGCCTGCGGACGACCGTGGCTACTACACTGGCGCATGGGTACAGTGACTTGTTGTGGTAACATTTTCTGGACGCTAGCTTAGTATACGACTTTTCCCCCTGTTCCAACACTGGACACCTGTACTGGTTTTTGGTGGTAACGTGTTCCTGACGCTAGAATAGGAAACCACGGTAAACCAGTACGACGCCGGTACTGTCTGTAGGTCCTACAATGATATGGACTGCTTTGGCTGGTGAGGCGCTAGCGTCTGATACGACGTTTTTCCGTTTGACAAGACCGCAAATCCGCGGTTTCCTACAAATCCGCAAGAGCGCGCGGGATGAAATGTTGACACTTTTTTTTGAAAAAAAACCATTGGTTTTTTATGTTTTTATGTTAAATCGTTACGAACACTAGGGTTTTGGAAGGATTTCGTCTTGCGCGCGCGAATGTCCACTTTACCTTATTGTTTGCAAGGGATTCTTGAAGTTTGGTTATGTTAGAACAAGAAATGTCCACTTTGCCTTTTTTTGTGCAAGGGAAAACCGCCCGTAACAAAACAACCGGATCCGGACCAACCCGTTTTGCCGGAGACTTCCTCACGAAAATGATGAAAACATGGCTGCGGCCTAGGCGCGGCGAGGGGGCCGTGCACCAGGGGCCCCAACAATAATTATTCTTTAGAAGTAATAATGTTCAACAACAGCAACAACAACAACAACACCAACCATTACGATGATACTAAGACAGTAGCCAGCAACAAAAAAAACTGAACTCGCGCATGGAGGATGGACAAACGCAACGTACATCACCTCAGAATGCCGGCGGCGTGGCGAGCGATCTGCACGAACGGGATGAAGTCTCGGCGGCCCTCACTGACCTCCTGGCCTCATTTGATCGGGTCGCGTCGGTCTCGAGTGCTTCGGCTGATCTCGGAAGACCCGCCATCTGATCCCGCGCCCGTCGCGCGCGATCGCCATCGAGGCTCGGCCCCCCGCAAAGAGGGGGCCCCATGCATCCCACTTCGGGCGCGGCGCGGGGGCTTTGAGAAACGCCGCCATGGCTCGGCTCGTCCTCGGCAATTGGGGGAACTACTCCACTCGAGGGACCTCGCCCCCCATCAGCGGCTGCGCCGAGCGCGAAAGCCTCTCTGGCCGCCTTGGCCCACGCCGCCTCGCGGCCGTCGCTGAATCGACCCCGATCGATTCAGCGACAGGGGTCGATTCGACCCCCGTCGATCCAGAGGCTCTCGGGCCCCTCGCCAGTCAGAGCATGAAACCGGTTCTTCCCCCAAACAATCGGACGGCATCAGCCGAGAAGCCTGGGGGCAGGGGGTCGCGAGCGCCGGCTGCGCCCACCCCCCGGGCGCCAATCGCGCCGCCGCCGGGATTGGCGGACAGGGGCGGCCCAGAAGTCCCGCGAAAGGAGAAGATGCAGGCCGCGCCGGGCGCCGCGTTCGAAGCCCTCACATCGCTCCCCACGACGACGAGACCGGGGGCGAGGGGATGCCCCTCGACCCAGTAGCAGTCGCGGCGGTCGTCGCGGAGCCCCGGCCCTGATGGCCGGGGGCCAGCCCCCCCCCCCCGAGCCGCTCGAACTGCCGCAATTCCGGCCGCGTCCACTCAGGCTCGGACCGCAGGCGTTCACGCGCGTCGCCATGGCCTTCACTGCCAGACGCTCATGGTGAGTAGCTGGACGATCGCCAGCTGCATCTGTCTGACACCCCGACGCAGGCCTGCCGCGCCGCCCTGGTTCGCATCGATCGCCCCACCGAAGTCCTCGAAGGAACCGATCACCCTCCCGACGCGAGTGGCCCCCTGACATATCTGCTGAAGCCCCTCCTCGACATGTCCCCCAAAACCACTTGAGACGACGCGGCGTTATCGACCGCGCGCCCCACCGCCGCCTGGGCGCCCCGCGTCGTCTTCAGCCCCCCTGGGAACTCCTGAAGCTGCCACTGGAGGCCTGGAGCATCCCGCTGAACCCGCCCCAGGAGTTGAGGGCTGCTGCTCCTCCGACGACTACCCCGCCTCGCTGAACGGCCCCCACCGCCCGCTGATCTGCGTCCGCAGCCCTCCCGGCCGCTGCCGCCGCCGACCCCGGCCCCCCCTGCGCCGTTGGAACCCCTGGCCCGCTGGGCCCCACGCGAGACGAGCGCCGCGCATCAAAAAATTCGAGCCCGGGCCAACTCATTACCGTAGAGACGAACGCGCTCGCCCGGGCGGTTGCAGCTGGGCAGCGGGAGCCGCTTGCACGACGGCCGCTGCCCCTCGGGGGTCTGACCCCTGACTCAGGACGAGGCCATGCCCGAGGGTCTCTGGCCACGGTGGAGGCCCCCGCGGCACCGCGGGTGCTGGTCCTGATCCCATGGCCACGTCCGCCGCCGCCTGAGGCGCCGCCAACCTGAGCGGCCGCCACCTTCGGCATCGGCGCCACTGCATGCTCGGCAACAGTCGGCAGCCCTCCACCGGCCACCAACGACCACCCCCCGACGATCGCGCCGTCGGGGTTGGCGCGCTGAGACTCGGGATCGGGCTCCTGAAGCGCTGGCTTGAGCCCAGAGCTGTGGGAGCAGCTCCTCGGTCGTCCCCTGAGCCACTGGCTACTGGCGGGGGGAAGCCTTCTTGGGTCTGACCGCATCGCGATCGCCCCGAAGATCCTCGCCATCTGACATCGGAACGCCCTGTCCGGCGAGCTGTCGAGACTGCGATGCGAACGAGCGTCGGCTGTGACAAAACAAGCTCGGGACCAGAAAAGCAACGGAAAGAACGAACGATGCAAGACCCTCTAATGCCGTCAGCCCCCTTCTCCCTCTTCGCAGAGTCGGCCTTTCGGGCGGCCCCCACTGCGGGTCACCCACCCGTTCACTGGGCGCTAGCTGAGGCCGAGACACGAGCATACGCGAGCCCTGACAGGCCCCTTCCGAAAATCCGATTCGCCTTCTGGATCACGTTTGACACCCCCCCCCCCCACTCGCGATACCCGCGCGAGACTTCGCATCCCCAAGAACCCACGAGAGTTCAATGAGGCCCACGGCGACGACAGAGAAACAAAGGGAAGCGAGGACGCAACTCTGCAGGGCACCAGCGTCTGACATGAACTGCGGCTACCCGCCCGGGCGTCAGAATGAAAAAAAGGGTTCCAACGCTGGGCCGAGCACTGCAGGTGGCCGCTCGAGCCCGAACCACGCCGGCCGTCAGGCGGCGCGACCCCAACGCGCAAAGGTCGACAGTCTCGCGGAATGCCGGGCCGCAGCGGACAGTTGGGACAATTGATCACGCACGCCGGAAATCCAGCGGATTGACGCTCAACATGCACGGGACATTGTCGGCGAGCACGATAGCCCCTACGAGACCGCGCACGCCGCCCAGGCAATGGAGGAAAATTTAGCCTGGCGAAGGACCAACCACATGCAGTTGTGGATGCCGTCGTCGTTAGCATCGCCGTCGACGGTTCTCCTTTGGGGGCCACGAAGCGCGCGAAGAGCGCGCCGAAATGAGGCGGGGCCACCACGCGGGCGCCGCCACTGGGGCCCGATGCAGAGCCCCCCCCCTTATGGCGCCACAAAACGCGTGAGGGACGTGCCGAAGTGAGGCGGGGGCGCCATGCCGACGCTGCCACTGAGGCCTTCGGTGGAACCCATGCGGGGCCGCGAAACGCGCGAGGGGCGTGCCAAAATGAGACGGCGCCGCCACGCCGCTGGGACCGTGGGCGGAGCTCCGCATGGGGCCACGAAACGCGCGAGGGGCGTGCCAAAATGGAGGCGCCTCCACGCGGACTGCGCCGCCGGGAGCCTATGGGGCCGCGAAGCGCGCGAGGGCGCGCCAAGATGGAACGGCGCCGCCACGCGGAGCGCGCCGCCGAGACCTCAGGCGGGGCTCTCTACGCGGCCACGAAACGCATCAGGGGGCGCCAAAATCGGGCGGCGCCGCCATGCGGACCGCGCCTCTGGGACCTCAGGTGGAGCCCCCTATAGGGCCACGAACCGCGCGAGGGCATGCCAAAATGAAGCGGGGCCGCCATGCGGACTGCGCCGCTGGGACATCAGGCGCGGCCCCCATTACGGGGCCACGAAACGTGCGAGGGGCGCGCCGAGATGGAACGGCGCCGCCGCGCGGAGCGCGCCGCCGAGACCTCAGGCGGGGCTCTCTACGCGGCCACGAAACGCGTCAGGGGGCGCCAAAATGTGGCGGCGCCGCCATGCGGACGGCGCCTTTGAGACCTCAGGTGGGGGCCCCTTATGGGGCCACGAAACGTGCGAGGGGCATGCCAAAATCGCCATGCGGACTGCGCCGCTGGGACATCAGGCGGGCCCCCTACGGGGCCACGAAACGTGCGAGGGGCGCGCCGAGATCGAGCGGCGCCGCCATGCGGACTGCGTCGCCGGGGACCTTGGGCGGAGCTGCCCACGGGGCCGCGAAGCGCGTGAGAGGCGCGCTGAGACGGGCGACGGCGATGACGATGATGGCGATGATGATGAGAGGAAGAGGGAAGGGGCAGCGGGAGGAAGAGGAACGCGGGGCGCCGTCTCAACCGAACACCCAACACCACAGGATGGCCAGGGAAATAATGTCGACAACTCGAGCCGGCCCGCGCGCGCCGCTGGCCGAGCGAGGGCGGCGAAAGCCTGCTGGAGCTCAGACGCGCTGCACGCCAGCTCCGCCATTGCCCGAGACTCTCGGTCGAGAGCCTGGAGGCCGACAAGATCACTGCCCGCCCCTGGATCAACAAGTGCCCGACGGGCCCAGAACGAGAACATCGCGCCCTCGGCGGCGATCTCTCCCTCTACCTCGTCCTGGGTAGGTCGCGAGCCCCTCGTCGACGCGCGTTGCTCGCTGGCCTGGCCGATCGCGAAGCCGTCAACTGCGACCTTGCCAGCGCCAGACGCTCGGCCGCTCGACGATTGCTTTTTCGGGCACTCTCGGCCCCAGGGCCCATTCTGGCCGCGCGCGCGGCACTTTGGCGATCTCAAACTGACGCTCGACGGTCACCCTCGGCCTCAAGGCCTCGCCCCCCGCAGCGCCCCCCGCGCACCCATCGCCCCGGCCCCCCCCGCTCGGCCGAGGGCGGGGGGGCACACTTGCGTGAAGCCTTAGAACTATCGGCCCCTCTTGGCTGCTCGCCCCGGGCCCTTGCCCCCCGCCGAAGCGCGGCTCGCTGGCCCAGGAGCGATCACGGCGATAGCGCCCCCCGCCTGATCCTCGAACGCGTCAAGGTCCTCGTCGTCGCGGCATGAGTCGCAACACCCCTCGGAAGCCCAACCACCTCTGGACCGAACCTGGCCCCAGGATGGAAGGGGGAGATGCCAGCGTCGACGCTTGCCAGCCGCGCAAGGACCCCCATCGTAAGCGACGGCGGCAAGTATCGATCCGACACCAGGCCTACGTGGCATGAGCCTGTTAGAATCCGCTGCGTCTATCTGTTCCCAAGCCGATGCCACGCCCACGCGGCCGTGAGCGAGCGCGCGCTGATTCGGCGCCCCTTGAAACGCGAAGCCAGCGCCCTCCTCTAGCAGAAGGCCCTCGAGCGTGGATGACAGTCACAAGTCGTTGCCCTCTGCCTCTGACAACTGCGCCTCTCGGTGGCCCACGGAATACCTCATCGAATACGGTTTTTTCGCCAGCCCGTCTCAGGCCGTCGCCCCCACGCCCCCCTTATCATCATGCCCATCCTGGACAAAACATGGTCGATCCACTCACGGCTACTAGAAATGGAATCTGGGGCTGTGTCGAATCTTGTCTGCATATTCCAATCAAAAAGTTTCAGCATATGTTCGGTTCTCCTCCAAATCGACACATCCGAATTATGATCCCGTCGTTGGAAAGCGTCTCGAGGTTGTTTGTGGTGTCTCCAACCGGACCAGGCGGGAGGATCTGAATAGTGTCCTCTGGCCCCTCCTCCGCCTGAACACGACTGGTCTTTCCACTCGTGGTTGCCCCAGCCGTGGCCCGACCACCGGCTCCAACTCGGCTCGTCGCACCACAACCAATCATCTTTTTTTCTACTGCTTGCCGTACCTCTTCTGCCGCTGACTGTCGCCCTCGTCGCCTGCTGCTGAATCGCTGGCACCCGCTGCCGCTCGCCAGGGATCGAAGTCTACCGGTTTCTCCTTGGGGGGGGGCTGAAGCTGCCGCTGTAGGAGCTCTCATACGCACTACGCCTTCGACCAACTCCGTGAGCTGCTCTGCTGTCAGCCCGGCGGCTGCAATGCCGGCGGACTGGGAAGCTCCTCCAGGGGAGGCTGCTCTCTCGGCGCCCGTCTGCACTACAACCATGACCAAGTTTTCGTCTGACTTTTCACAATTACCATTAACACCACGCCAATCGGTCCTCCAGGAGCCAGCGCACGCTCAGAATCCGTGGGCGCTCTCGCCAGGCGCCATGGTGCGCTGGGAAGGAAACTCCGATTTGGCACCGCTCCGCAACCAACTGCGGAAGCAGCATCGACACAGAAATGTTGTGGAGTTGAGCCAACACTGGCACGGAAACAGTCACACTCGCCATGCCTGACAGAAAGTCTCGGGAAGAAGTAACTGGGGGGGGCGGCTTATTGCAACATCGTTGATGCACCTCGGTTGCACTGGTCCCTCAGTCTCCCCCAATGATCGAGCAGGCGACGCTGGAAGGTCAAGCGAGGGCGCGGGAGGGCGTGCGCGGCGCAGATGACATGGAGCCTGCTGGGAGGTGCCGGTGCTGGCGGGCTTGGTCTGCGGGGTGAGCGGGCAGCTGTTGTCGGGGGGTTGCAGGGAAAGGGAACGGTGGCCACGACCAAAACTAAGCTCGAAAGCGTGGGTCGTCATCTTTGTCATCATCTATCCTTCATGACCTTGGTCATCTTGAGCATGGCCATGACCAGACTGATTGCGGAACGTCCGAGTGGTCACGGTCCACTTTGGTCATCGTCTATCCGCAAATCGTCCTCGCGAATTGGCGACGGCTGGCATGGACCATGACCCAGATCGGCGTCGGCAGGACCCCGCGACACCTGGGTCGTGGGCATCGCGTTGCTTCCCCCGATGGTTGCCTGCGCCAGCACGCCGAGGCGGACTGCCCCCAGGGGCATCGCTGGCGGAGCCCCACGGTCGAGGCAAAGCGGACAAGGTCGGCAGCGAGATGTGCGGGAAGCTCGTCGGGGTGGCCGAGTCGCACATCGCAACTCGGCAACACGCAGGAGTGGCTCCAGGCAAGAGGCACCTTTGTTGCGCAGTTGTTTGTGATGGCGCGCGGGACAAAACCGAAGCGACCAAGCCGCTGCTATCGTATCGCGCAGGCAGCGATCGGCGAATCCACGTGGGCCCGCACTAAAGGTCGCACTAAAGGTCACTTCGGCGAAAGGTCACTCTTCGTGTAATCGACTAGCTCTGAATGTCGTCATATTATTCACCGGAGGGGCCAAAGAGCCAGACGCGTGCGGCGTCCAGCGCGAACGGCAGCAGATGATCGCTCCGCAACGCAGGCGGGTGGGCGCGCGGACAAGGACCTCCATGCCAGATACGGCCCCATCGTTTTCAGCACTGTGAACATCAGGCAAATTCTGCGGCAACCCATGGGAGACCAGCACGCCGTCTGAAACGTCAAAAAAAACACCAAGACGCTCCCCTGACGGTCCCAGGGGGCCACGAGTCGCCTACAGATCGCCCCTGGACGCCCACGATGACCTCCAGGCGGCCCCCGACGCTGCCAAGACGCCCCAAAAGGCCCCCAAGATGCGCCCCAAGAGGGCCCCAAGAAACAAAGATCGGCCCATCCTGTTCGAAAAAACCAGCATGTTTCGCAAGCTCGCCAATTCGGCTTTCACAACGTCCACAACGGGCAAAGAAACATTCAATATCGCCCCCAGGCGGCCAAAAGGAGCCCCCAACACGGGCCGAAGAGGGTCCAACAACAGCCCACGAAGGCCCCAAGACAGCCCGAAAGGGCCCCCCAGATGGCTACAAGACAGAGTCCAGAGGGCACCTTTTTTCCAGCCTTCGGCCCCAAGACGCCCCCAGCCTGCCCCAAGAACACCCCAAAGGCCGTGGGGGACCTCCAAGAAAACCTCACAGGCTTCCAAGAAGCTCCAATAAAGTCCCCAAGAAGCCCCAAAACTACGACCCCGTCAGGCCTCCCACGGGACCCCATCAACCATCCGTGTGGCCGCATACCCTCAACCCAAGCAAAGTGGCGGGATGCGCCGCGTGAGAACCACTCGTCTGGTTTTTGGACCGACGCCTGCCGTCTATGAGCGCGGGTCTTCGCAAGTATTTTCCCATGTTTGTACGGCAAACACTTCGAAAATCAGCCACGCACTGACCACGCAGCATCCATCCACCATCTGACATTGTCCCCGCCTTCAGGGCGCTCCGAAGAGACCCCGCGAAGCACCCCTGAGATTATGACCCCCTACCAAGCCTGTCTGGACCGACGGCCATGACACATTACACGGTCCAGACACCTGTACAGGGTCTGGAAATCCAACATGACGCACACGCTGTCCCAAGTGTCGGACATCTTCCCGAAAGGCCACCAGAGACAGGAGTACATGCCTCCAAACCAAATCGTCACTCCTCCTTCTCCTCCTCCGACCCCCCTAATCCACCCCCCAGGGACCCCAAACCGGCAAATTGACCCCCACCCCCAGGCCGAGCCCGACCCCAGACCGAACGCGCCACGGGTGAGCGGAGGGCCCCAAAACTGCCCAAGAAGGCATCAAAACGCTCCCCTGACGGTCCCAGGGGGCCACGAGTCGCCTACATATCGCCCCTGGACGCCCACGATGACCTCCAGGCGGCCCCCGACGCTGCCAAGACGCCCCAAAAGGCCCCCAAGATGCGCCCCAAGAGGGCCCCAAGAAACAAAGATCGGCCCATCCTGTTCGAAAAAACAACTGTTTCGCACGCTCGCCAATTCGGCTTTCACAACGTCCACAACGGGCAAAGAAACCTTCGCCCCCAGGCGGCCAAAAGGAGCCCCCAACACGGGTCGAAGAGGGTCCAACAACAGCCCACGAAGGCCCCAAGACAGCCCAAGAGGGCCCCCAGACGGTTCCAAGACGGAGTTCAGAGGGCACCTCTTCGAGCCTTCGGCCCCAAGACGCCCCCAGTCTGCCCCAAGAACAGCCCAAGAGGCCTGAGGGACCCCCAAGAGAACCTCAAAGGCCTCCAAGAAGCCCCCGGGAAGCCCCCAAGAGGCCCGAAAACTTGGCCCAAGATACCTCGAGGCGGCCGGATATGGCCTGCAGACAGGCCAAGATGTCACCGAAAGGCCACAAAAGAGCACCAAGAAGTACGATAACAGCAACGAAGCAACAGGAAAGATGTCGAGCGCCGCGTCATGATTCGGACAAGCCTCGTGAAATGCAGTCCTGGAGGCGCAATAGTTTGTATAGGGGTCGGCGGATGTGGCGTAAGACTATAGAATCGAATCTAAGTCGGCTTAATTTCGATGCGAATCGACGCTAGATCGGCGTTTCTCATCGATTACCAGAAGCTAGCGCATGCTAGTGCTCTCCCTAAACGGAATTGCGAGGACATACGAGGCTCGGCTGAGTTGCTGCCGAAGCAGCAAGCTGTGCAGGAAGCTCGTGAGGGTGGGCGAGTCGCACATCGCAGCTCTGCGTGCCGACATATTCTGCACGGGACCGGCCGAGGAGCTGGACGCGCCCCGCTTCCAGCGCGGCGGGTAGCAGACGATCACCCCATATCACGGCCGGACGGGCGCGCGGGCGAGGCCTCCATGGCAGAGACGGCACCACCGCATGCAGCATGGTGAAAATCGGGCAAGGGCTGAGCAGTGCCCTAATCAGAGAACAACTAGTGCCATAAACATAAATGATAACAGAGAACAACCCCAATCAAAGACTTGTTAGGGCTATAGGGCTACGGGGCTGTTGGGCTATTGGGCGATGGGGTTGTAGGGCTATAGGGCTATGGAACCATAGGGCTATAGGGCCATAGAGCTATATGTCTAAAGGGCTATACGGCTATAGGGCCATAGGGCCATAGGATTATCGGGCTGTAGGGGTCTAGGGCTATGGGGCTATGGGGCTCCGCGGCTATAGTGCAATAGGGCCATAGGGCTATGAGTCTATAGGGCTATGGGGATATAGGGATATAGGACCATAGGGCTGGAGGGCTATAGGGATATAGGGCTCTGGGGCTACAGGGCTATGGGGCTGTAGGGATATAGAACTATAGGGCAATAGGACTGTAGGTCTATAGGGCTATAGGGCTATGGGCTATAAGGCTATAAGGCTATAGGGCTATAGGGAAATGGGGATATAGGGCCATAGGTCTATATGGCTATATGGCTATATGGCTATATGGCTATATGGCTATATGGCTATATGGCTATAGGGTGCTTCGGCTATACGGTTATAGGGCTATAGTGCTATGGGACTATAGGGCTATTGGATTACAGGGCCATAGGGCTATCAGGCTATAGGGCTATGCGGCTATAGGGCTATAGGGTTGTAGGACTATAGGGCTATAGGGCTATAGGGCCATAGGGTTATACGGCTATAAGACTATAGGGCTATAGGGCTATAGGGCTATAGGGCTATTGAGCTGTAGGACTATAGGGCTGTAGGGCTATGGTGCTATAGGGCTATAAGGCTATAGGCCTGTAGGGCTTTAGGGCTATAGGGCCATAGGGCTAGAGAGCTATAGGGCTATAGGCATATACGCCTAAGCGGCTGTAGGCCTATAAGGCACCCGGGCACCCGGGCACCCAGGCACCTGGGCACCCGCGCACCCGGGCGGGCCGCGGAAATCGGTGGCAAACCTCACCTAACCACATGAATCCGCTAGGACCCCTACAGAGGCAAGCTCTGATTGGGGAACTTTCGCAGGTCCGCGCGGATTTCGTGGATAGGGGGTGAACTGCCCTTGCGGCGACTCTAGCGCAGCAACTGGCGCGCACCGCGCGCCAGGGAGGGGGGTCCAGCGCCCATCCAAGAAATCCGCACGGACTTCCGAAAGTTTAAGTTTATATGTCATTATTTGTTCCCCGAACTGAGAAGTGAGGTCGCCGCCGCCGACGGCGCCCAATTCTGCCTTGGCGAATGCGGCTGCGACCGCTCACTCTCGCTGATCCTCAGAACGTGTGTTGGCGAAAACATGCGCTTGTCCACCGAAGCCCGTCAAGACGACGCAGCCGATGTCATGAGGGTCGAACGGGGCAAACACGAATTCGGCAAACATATGCTCTGAGGATCATCGACACTCCCAGCAGGCAAGCCGCCCCAGCTGGCGAACTGCACACGCCTGCGGCAGGCGCGGCTCGATTGCATAGGCCTGCTTCTGGAGGCTCTCGGGCACGGAACCAGGCAAAACGTCGGCAGCGAGGCCAGGCAGGAGCACTCACGAAACTGTTCGAGATGCGGGAGCGGGAGTTCAAAAAGAAACTAGTGCTAGAGGAGCTTGAGCGCACGCAGAACATCTCGAGAAGAAGCCAGAGCCATGGCGCGACCGGCCGGCTCAAGCAGAAGGGAAAGCAGGAAGGACACCGAGTGGGAGCTCCAGAGCAGCTTGGCTGATGAGTTCGAGCGTCTCCTGCACGAGTTCAGGCAAGAGTTCAAAGACGAGCGCAAGCAGCAGCTCGCTTAGGAGATCAAGAAGGACCTTACGCGGCAGATTCAGCGTGAGATCAAGCAGGTGAACGAGCTCTGACAGGAGAGGTTCGAGCATGATTTAAGGCAGGAGTTGCGAAGGATCGTCGAGCAGGATCTCGAGGAGCAGCTCAGTGAGAGCAACGAAGACCTCCACGTCGACAAGGGCGTGAAGGACCAAAATCAAACTGCCAGCATCGCGGGTTCAGACCACTCTGACAACGTCACAACGTCAAGATCTTCAAGGAGGGCTTCGACCAGACGAAGCCCAGCTGGAGAGACCAGCAACAGCCGCAACTACTCCCAGCAGCAGACGCACTAGACCAGAAAGACTTCTAACAATCGTGAGCGTACGAAGGCCGCCTTGGCATCCATACTCATACGCATCTAAGTTCAATCTCGCTCGGGCATGAGCTAGACAGCAGCTAGACACAGCTTGCCAACAGCGGGCAGGATGTTCACAGTGTGTAGGGAATGGCTAGGCAAAGACCAGGGGCAACCCCGGCCTCCCAAAAAACACGGTGATACGGGCCAGGAAGCCTGGCCCCCTACCCGCCCCCTTCCACCCTCCTCCCAGCTTCATGTCCATGCTCCTCTTCCATCAGCGTGCATGGCGCCAGGCAGGCGCAGCTGCTTCGCGGAGAGTAGGGGGCAGCGTCATAGCCCAGAGCCGTTCCGGGCACAGGCTGGGAGGCAGGGCAGAGTGCCGAGAAGACACGCTGTGCTGCACAGCGGAGGCCCGAGCGTCGGGGAACGGGGCCGTCCACGACCCCGAACACCGGCCCTCGGGCTCCCTGGGGGGCGCGGGCGGCTCTCTGCGGCGTTCGTCGGCCTCGGTCGGAGGGAGGGCTCCAGACCCTCCTTCCGATGTCGGATGCTGGCCCTCCCTGGACTGCCCCCGAAACGAATGTCAAAACAGTGTCCTGGTCAACCTCCAACTCGTCCCTCATCCTGCTCTTCCTGCTCCTCCCACCTCTGCCACTCAGACAACGACGTTACCGACGCCGACATCGACGACTTCGACAACGTCGACTTCGACTTCGACTTCGGCTTCGACGACGACGACGACGACGACGACAACGACGACCACGACCCCGACGACGACGACGACGATGACGATGACGATGACGACGATCATCCTGCGAACATGTGATCTCTAACAAGCTGCTTTAACCTTCGTTTGTTCACCCCTCTTCCTTATACTCGCCCACAAGTCTATGAACCAACGCCCTTGTTGGGCTTCTTTTCATACTAGCACCCGAGAGAAGCATTCATCCAGAGGTCCACTCTGTTTGCGCATCGCGCCGCGATCGCCGACATACGAGCTCACGCGCCCGCAGGCAACTCACAAACGTAAGTGAATTGCGAGGACTTCTCGGGCGATAGCACAGCTCCTGACTGACTGCGATAATACATATGACCAGGACGGACACGAGTAGTTAATGTGCAAGGACAGACGGACACGTCGTAGCAGCTAGGCACTCACCAACCTGAGCGGATTGCCAGGAGTTATCGAACCAGAGCGCATGTCCTGAATTACGTGGCGTCTCTGGCTAGGGCGTCTCGGAGAGAATTGAGAGGAAGTACAAAGCGGGAGCCACTGTCGTGGTAGCTGGGCCTTCCCCAATTTGGGTTAATTGCGAGGACGTCTCGAGCGAGAGCGCCGTCCTTGAGTTCAGGGGCCTCTCTGGCCAGGGCATCTCGGAGCCAGTAGCGAAGGAATATCGAGCAGGGGCCGTTGTCGTCGCAGCTGGGCCTTCACCAACTTGAGCGAATCATGAGGATGCCTCGAACGGGAGCGCTGATCCTGAATATGGGTGCCTCTCTTGCCAGAGCGTCTTGGGGTAAACTGTGAGGAAGTATCAGGCGGTCGCCGCAGCTGTGTCTTCAAGGGCTGGGATTTGGACACAAACCCGCGCTTGAACAGGAGCGTCGTCTTCAGAGAAAACACAGCCGTCGTCGAAGCGAGAGCGCCAGGAACAGCTCCCAAAGATCAACAAGAAGCATCCCTTAGAAATTGCTTTTCGACGACTGCGCCTCCAGGGCGATGCACGCGTGCCTGCAGTCGGGGCCCTCGTGCAAGAAGTGCTCCAGGAGGCCCACCACGCACCTGCAGGAGGGGATGGGAAGGGAGAAGCACGGCAGCCAGACTACCGTCAGGAACGCTAAATGAGGAAATACGGAGCTGAAATAAGGAACTGCCATGGCTAGCCCCAGCTTCGAATAGCTTCCCCGACCCAGATCGAAGGTACGGCCCGACAGCAAGAGCCCGTCCCGAGCCCAGAATTGTCCTTAATCGAGCGTCTTGACTGCACGCACGTTCGTCTCGTGACCACTTTGGCTTTGCCCTCCGACACCGCCGGGATCGTCCTTGGTTTGACGATCGCGGCGTCCCGACAGTGCTGACCGCTCGATATCGGCCAACTCCGGGCCACTGGCAGCAACCTTGACTCCCCGCGCTTAGCTCGCTACTGCGTCCACGCGGCGCGAACGTACTGTTAGAGGGGGTTGACCTTCATGTGTCCAAGTCTTTGGTCGTCGTTCGCCCTTCGAATGCGTCCTGAGGGATTGTCCTCGCTACGAGTGGATCCGCCTCGAATGCGCGGTTAGAAAGCCCCCCTGGACAAGCCCGGCGTCCGACTTAGACAGGAGCAGGAGGAAGAAGAGGAAGAGGAAAACGGGAAGCGAGAAGGGAGGTGGGGAGGGAAGGAGGCCACGGGGGGGGTGGGAGTCCCTCATATCACCCTCACCGTCCCCCTCCCTCATCCCCCCTACACACCCTCCCTCCGCCCTGCCTCCTTCCTCACTTGCAAAATCCCTCCGTCCGCCTCCCCTTTTTTCCGCCCCCGCCTACGACTACTACTACCAGTACTAGTACGACTACCACTACTACGACTACTACTACGACTACTACTACTACTACTACTACTACTACTACTACTACTACTACTACCACTACTACTACAGCTACTACTATTATTACTACGACTACTACTACTACTACTACTACTACTACTACTACTACTACTACTACTACTACTACTACTACTACTACTACTACTACTACTACCTAACCTACCTACCTACCTACCTACCTACCTACCTACCTACCTACCTACCCTACCTACCTACTACTACTTACTACTATTACTATACTACTACTACTACTACTACTACTACTACTACTACTACTACTACTTACTACGATTACGACTACTACGACTACGACTACTACTACTACGACTACTACTACTACTACTACTACTACTCTACTACTACTACTACTACTACTACTACTACGACTACTACTACTACTACTACTACTACTAATACTACTACTACTACTACTACTACTACTACTACTACTACTACTACGACTACTACTACTACTACTACTACTACTACTACTACTACGACTACTACTTACTACTACTACTACTACACTACTACTACTACCTACTACTACTACTACTACTACTATACTACTACTACTACTACTACTACTACTACTACTACTACTACTACTACTACTACTACTACTACGACTACTACTACTACTACTACTACTACTATACTATACTACTAGTACTTACTACTACTACTACTACTATACTACTACTACTACTACTACTACTATCACTACTACGACTACGACTACGACTTACGACTACACTACTACTACTACGACTACTACTACTAACTATTACTACTACTACCTACTGCACTACTACTACTACTTACTACTACTACTACTACTACTACGACTACTACTACTACTACTACTACTACTACTACTACTACTACTACTACTACTACTACTACCACTACCACTACCACTAATACTACTACTACTACTACTACTACTACTACTACTACTACTACTACTACTACTACTACTACTACTACTACTACTAGGGTCACCCGTCGTCTATGGCCGGCCTGCTTATGGCCGGTAGTTTGGTTGGGTTCTATACAGGTGTACGAAAACCTTATATAAACTACGCGTCCTTCATACTTGACTTATGGCACGCTGTGAGGAATCCTAAGGAATTCTCGAGGAATCCTCAGGAATTCTCCCGGAAACTTGAAGTATTCCCCAGGAGTCCTGAGGAATTCTCCTGGAATCCTAAGGAATCCCTGAAGAATCCCCAAAAAAAATTCGTCTGGAATCCTGAGAAACCCCCAAGAATCCTGAGGGATTCTCCAGGAATCCTGAGGACATTTCATGGAATCCCACGGGATTTTTCCGGAATCCCAAGGAAGCCTCCAGGAAACCTAAGGATTTTCCAGGAAGCTTCCAGGAATCCAAAGGAATCCAAAGGAATCCTAAGGAAGCCTCCAGGAAACCTAAGAAATTCTCACGAATCCCAAGGAATGCCAAAGGAATCCTTAGGATTCCTTGAGGAACCCTAAGGAATTCAGCAGGAATCCTAAGGAATCTCAAAGGAGTCCGAAGGAATCTCGGAGGAATCCTACGGATCTCGAAGGAATCCTAAGGAATTCACCAGGAATTCTTAGGAAGCCTTCAGGAATCTGAAGGAATCCCCGACGAATCCCAAGGAATCCTAAAGATTCCATACGAATTCTCCCGGATTCCCAAGGAATTCGTAAGGATTATTCTGGAATTCTCAAAGAATCCTAAAGAAGTCTCAAGGATTCCTAAGGAAGTCTCAAGGAGTCCTAAGGAAGTCTCCAGGAATCCTAAGGAATTCTCGAGGAATTCCAAGGAACGTTCGAGGAATCCTCAGGAAGTCTCGGTGAATCCTAAGGCTTCCTGGGTGAATCCTAAGGACTTACCCCGAAGATTCCTAAGGAAGTCTCGAGGAGTCCTCAAGAACTCTCAAGACTGAGTACGCGCGCGGAGTTGAGGGAGCTCCGCAAGAGGGGAAATCACACCAGCAACTGCGGTGGCCACGGTGGCGCGGGACAGAAATGCCCATGGAAAGGGGCTCCCATGAGGCCAGCAAATTGACACCACTGAAGACCATTGGTTTCCAATAGAAAACTAATAAAACAACCATTGGTGTCCAATCGAAAACTAATAAAAACCATTGGTCTCCAATAGAAAACCTATTTT